GGGGGGGGGGGGGGATTAAGGTTGTGGTGGCGAATAACTCGGTGAGCTATAGTTTATCTCCACAGAGTCATGTTAAGTTGCCGCTTACAATGGAGTACGATAGTCTGGTATCGTTGTTATGCAATAAAATGAGGTTGAGCAAACGTTCGGTGAATCTTAAAATAACCGGAAGATATCCGTATTCTGTGACTCCGCAAGGGGTTGCTTGTTACACTGAGTTTAACATCGAGGATGATGAAACTCTGAGAGATTTTTCGGGGACTCCGGATGAATATCGGGAACTTATTTTGATAAAAATGGTGGAAATGTACGTGAAGGTTGAAGACGTTCGCAATAATGAGCTTGTGCAAAGCAGGGATAACCCTCAATCATCGGGTGGTTATTCTGGAGCAGTTTTAGCCGAACAGGTTCCGGCTGAAAGAGTTTGGCCGGATCTAAACTTATCTCCACTGGTAAACGAGGAGTGAGGAAATCTCTCCTACTTTACATAATCCACAAGACGACTGGTAAACTTCAATTTTCCTTTGTGTTACGATGTTTATTTTTGTTGTATTGAATTTGTATTAACACTCATATATTCCACACGGGGTACCGTCCAGATATGAATTTTACAAGTTATGAACCCACGCCCAGTTGGAATATGCGTGGTTTTGGTGTGTTGGATCACGGTGGCACATCCGGGAGTCATCACCAACAGGATAATATCCAGCATGGAACGTCAACACATTACGACTTGTAAGTGAAGTGATATAGCTATATGTAAAGTATTTATCAATTTGAGTAGCTTATTATTTTGTTGTTTGTGCAGTGAAAACGAGCAACTTGATGGTCCTGTCCTCACTCAGTTGCCCGTAGACGACGTATTTACTCGGGATTTGGCAGATGCGCAGAGTCAGGAAGATAATAATGATTATGACAACAATGCTGACGAGTCTGAAGATGACACACCCTTCCCTAACGAGGGTGATGATGAGGAGGAAGAGAATGCCGAACCTGAGCTGACGAGGGAGCATGCTCGACCTCCCGTTAGACTAAGAGTGTATGAGTCCCACGTGCCGTTTCATTCAAGGCATATTCCCTATCTTGATCCTTTTCCAAGTATGCCG